AGTAGTTATATTATTGCCCTATTTTGACTTGGTGAATTAAATGCTCTAGACATGAAGGAGTAAGACTCGATGCCAAAAATAGCATTTTTATTACCATTTCTTCACTTGGAGTAGATTCGAATGGCGAAATCACAATTTAGGAGAAATTAATTGCGAAATGTTTCTTCGAAAAGAATCAGATCATATTTCAGATAGAAATTGAAGCCTAGATCTTGCACAAAGGAAAGCATATATTATGGGGAAAATCTGAGTCTGGGGCACAGCTGGTTTACATTTGAAAAGGAAAGAAGAGAGTTCGTTTCAGTCCACTGCATTTGAAATCTGATTCTCACAATTTGAGAGTCAGCTTTTGACCAATTTCAATTAAAATTTGCAGACTGAACAGCTAAAAGACAGGCCAAGCCAAAAATGCTTTATTTTTAGGCAGAAGTAAACTTTCAGACGGTTGAAGAATGTCGACAATAAAGCGATCGAAATGTTTTTTTTCGGCGCATTCGTACTTCGTGCGAACAATTGCGGAGGAGAAAAAGAAGGGACTGAATGCGACGGGCTTTACACAAACAGACCGCTTGGGAAGGATTCGCCGCCCTTCCCTCTCTTCAAACTCCCCGAATTCCTCCTTCTCTTCAAAAGTTAGTTGGAGCCCTTTTATGCACCGAAAAATGTCATGAGGGTGGAGGTTGGTTCATGTACACCTAATTACCCACCAATCCACTCACCGGTTGTAGTATCGAATTTTGATTTTCACTCTCACCATCACCACTGCCACAATCTCTCCCTGCCATTATTGCTTACTTTTGCAGCTATGACGTAACATAGGTAACGCAGTTTCGCGCTCAAGGGGCGTGCGTGTTACAGCTGCGGTAACAAAAACTAGGTACATAGCCAAGTATAAGGAGTGACCGCGCCAAACACTACTACTACCACTACATCTCAGCTCATTCACATTAAACTTTTTTCTTTCGTTTTTTTTGCTTTCAACATTCATCTTCCTTATTTAATGCTGCCATTCAATGGCATTTTAAAGGGCAAATTATGGGCGGACAATTGTTTTAATCAGCTTTGTAGGGAATTAAAAAAAACGCAATTTCCTCTAATTGCCAATGCTGAAAGCGTCACCACAGTGCATATTTTTTTTTGCTGGAAAGAGGGCAGACAAAGTGTCGGAGGACTTTTTGTCTTGTAAAAAGACATCTTCCCTGTGCTTCAGTTCTTTTCCTTCTGTCCTTGAAGTGTCTTTGCCCGTTGGCGCGTTAATCAACTTGTCTTTGATGTATTTTAAATAAAATAGGATTAAAAAGAGAATAGTCAATGTTAAACAGATTTGTGGAGAAGTTTAGGGGGGGGGAGGTATTTATTCAAGTGTTTCCAATCATAATTAAGTTTGGAATTATATCCAAATTACTTCACATATCTCCCCCAAATAGACCTGACTATTTTTTATTTATTTTAAAATAATTCAGCTTTCCCTCGACTGGTCCAGGTGTGGAAGAACGCATTTCGCACGTCACTGGCACATTTTACTCGAGTAATGAGTGATTATGATGCTTGACAAAATCAAAGAAATTAATTCCATATACGCCGTGAGTTTATCTGTCTATTCGTCCAAAATAATCTTTCAAAAAATAGTATACACCAAAGTGTTTGGATTTTTTTGCATTTATTATTCGGTGTATGGGTAGCAAAATGGAATAAATTTTATTAACTTAAATCATTTAATTTAAACAGAACCCCATATAATAAATATTGACTTCTAGGGTTAGATAAGCGCTCCTAGAATATTGAGACTATTGAAAATCAGCATAAATTCGTTCATAAAAAAGGCCTCTTAGTACCCCATACATGACCTTGAAGAGTGACTAAAAGATTTATCGCTAGAAAAGATTAAGGCTCTTTATTCACAACTAGGGCAAGCTGACGATGGAGGTGTAATACAGAGTATCTTACGTGAAAACAGTAGCAGTTTGGAGCTAGTCAGCTCGATGATTATTGGTGCTCATAATGTAGCATTTTGTAAATATAGACAGGAAAAAATTCCAGAGCAAGCCAATGAATAAATGCACCTCGTTATTAAGGCACGAGTCGAAGCCTCTATCAAGGTGATCTATTAATTATATGGACAGAGAGGAGAATTGTGGAATTATATGTTAATTGTTATTTTTAATTGTTCTTAAAATAGGAGTGCAACATTTGTAGGTACATAAATTCTTGCAGTCGCAACATCGATCATTTAGGCTTAATCATAACTTTTGATGTTTCTGCCAATTTTTATTAAATTCACCCTACTGCGAATCGGACTTTCCAGAAAATGTCGGCCTCCTTGTTCTCATGAATCTTTCATGGTATTCACCAGCCCTTATACACTTTTTGATGGACACACTAGTCTTGGGAGGCAGTTAGCATTAATCACCTATTCTCTAGAATTTGGAATCACTTAATGGCAGTGTTGGTGCTATGGTGCTTGGCTCAGTTCTAATGCACCTAAATACGATGCTTTGACTTAAGTTTTCCATTCAAATGAGTCAGCGCCTATTTTCGAAGTGTCTACGGCTATGATTTGATTGTCGAAATTCAGTTAAAATGCAAATATGAGTTTACACCACTCGACTGATCTGAAAATTGAATACCTGAAGGAAATGAAAACCCGAAGACCTCCGAAAAAATAATATTTATAACCATATTATGCAACAAAGTGAGAATGAATGAAATTAAAGGCACATAAATGAAATGAGGTGATAGTAATACCACGCGAGTCATTTAATCTATCTTTGAAGGATACAGAAGTTGGCAAACAAAAATTTAAAATTTTTGAAACTAAAAATTAGAATGAATCTGTTCCCTCTTTCATTTTTTACTTCTATTTTGTTGGCAAACGGTCATTCATGAGGAAGTTACTATTTTAGATGTTTTCCTTGCAAATTTACTTAAGCCATAAGGGCTTCAAGGGTTTATGCGTTTCTATTAATAAAGCTTACGGAAACCCCCTTTAAATAGGTTGGCTTCATTCAACTTGACCTTAAATCTGGGTCATCACAATATTGCGGACGACTCAGTAAGTAGTGTGCAACTAAAAGATAGATTGATAATCTAGTTCCGGGGTGTGTGATAGACTTACCTCCACGTGGTGCACCCTGGGCAACGTATACTCATAGGACAAAAAGTCTATAAACCGGCAGTTGACTTCTGACTTCAAACTGCCATGACCCCACTGCATGTCATATTCGACCTCTTCTACAGCGCTCATCTTACCTTTTCTCTACCTTCGTCTTTGAAACACTCTTCTATCCCCCCTCTCGACTTTCCTTCACTTTGATGTTCTTTCCCCTCTGTGAAGCCTGAAGTCAACTAAAGGGCTAATGATAACCATCAAAACGCCTGCCATTTGATATAAATAAATAAATGTTGCAAGCGTCCACGTTGGCAAAAAATTCTTCGAAATTTCAAAGAAACGGAGGCTCGAACGTATTCTTCCTAAACAGCGCGAGTGGTATCTGAGACCTTTGTGTGCCAGTGCATTTGATATAAATAAATAAATAATTTAGTTCCACTTTCTCACAAGGCAGGGCAAGGACTATTGTACTAAATTTCTAAGTCAACTGAGTTAGAATTGACACCAAAGTAGCATCGATTTCTACGTCTCTCCAATGGACGACTGGAAGTGCTGTCAGGAGAAGAAGAAGAAGAAGAAGAAGAGAAAAACAGCTGTCCTTGGTCATCAAAGCA